ATCAGATTGTGATGCACAACCTTAATCTGTCTACTTATCGGATTTTGAATCTTGAATGTGTGGCTCTCATCGTTTTTCTCCACCACCACATATATTATATTTTCCCAACGATCAGCAAGCTTTCTTTTCCCACGTTCGCCTTTGTTGGCCAATAACACACAATCTTCCACCTCAACCAGAGCACCACGCACCTTCTTATTGTATAGTTCAGTGTGTCGTTGAAGTTGTTTTGTTGCTGTCGACTGGGCCACTGCCATAGCCTCTCTCATGCTTTGCCGTAACGACTCAACATAGCGGTCATAGTCTACAACCTCAGGATCATCGAGCACTGAGCCAAACATAACGTCCACTGGAAGTCGCGGGACTCTCCCAAACATGAGCAGGAAAGGCGCATAGCCAGTTGTCTCGTGTATAGTGCAGTTGTATGCAAACGTCAGGGATTTTAGAGCTTGAGGCCAACAATGTTTTGCTCTTGGTGGAAGCGCCCGTATCATATTCCCAAGAGTACGGTTCATCCTTTCACACGAGCCGTTACCCATGGGATGATAGGGAGTAGTGTGTGATTTCTGCACACCTGCAACCTGTAACAACTCCGCTATCAGGGCACTCTCAAAATTAGCCCCCTGGTCCGAATGCAACCGTTTCGGAAATCCATAGACACTGAAGTAGTTATTCCACAGCTGATGGGCGACTGCTTTGGCTGACTGGTTAGGACACAAGAAGGCATGCGCCATTTTAGTGAAGTGGTCAGTCGCAACAAGCACATCCAGGGACCTATTAGCAGAATCTTCAGCTGTCCAGAAATCAATACTGACAAGTTCAAGGGGTTCGGAGGTTCTAATACTTTCTAAAGACGCTCTGGCTTCAGGCTCTGGGGTTTTGCTTACTACACAGCGTCTGCAGTGTTTAACATAGTCCATAACATCACGGCCCTAGCCAGTGAAACCTCTGCCTTGTCAGGTATAAAGTCCTCTGCTGCCCCTGATGGCCAGCCTCATCATGCACACCTTTCAGCACTTTGTGACATAATGAGCGGGGTACAACAAACAGGTACTTTCTTCTTCTTATTGGCCGAATCCTTTGTCACACGGTACAGAACCCCCTCTCTCAAAGTGAGTTTCTCCCAGTCTCGCAATAATCTGTTTGCACCAGTAGTTTCCTTTGCACGCTCCCTCCTTGATGGTCTCCTTCCTCTTTCCACATAGAAAATTACTCTGCTCAGATCTGCATCATTCCTCTGTTTGTCCTTCAATTCGTTGAGGGAGAGCAACTCAGAGTCAATTTGTGGGGGCAACAGGACAGACTGCGTGAACTGGGGCAGGAGCAACGCGAGTGGGCACGAGTCAAAATCACGGCTTTTCAATTCATCAAGAACAGCCGCAACCTCCTGAGATGAGATCGAGCTAGAAGAGCTAACTACTGCCGCGCATTGTACAACAACACGTTGGCCACACTCGGATTGCGTGTCAGGTGGGCAGTGATGGGAATAACGGCGTTACTAGTAACGGCGTTACTAACGCCGTTACTTTTTTCAGTAACGAGTAATCTAACTAATTACTTTAACAGTAACTATAACGCCGTTATCATTTCCGACATCCCGTTACTGCGCGTTACTCAAGACGCACAATGAACGTGTTGTCATGAGAGAAGGGAGGATGAGAAAACCTCTCAGCAATTATTGGCTGATGTAAATCATATTTCCTTTACAATCCACATGTCTACAGTTGAGAGGATGGCTCATAAATTGTGTTTTTGAAACAAATATGGGTCTTAATCGCGCTCAACCACGGCTTGTATCACCGTGAGGTCAGCCACAGAGTAGCGCATGTGAGCGCAGAAGTCGGCTGCATACAATTCCATCGATAAGCTCCTTGCTCTTCCTGGTTTATCTGCTAAGGACAGCAACAGGTTTGGCTAACATACATATAACACATTTTTACATAATCTAAAATGTACATAGGGTAATTTTTCAATTACTATAGGAATGATAAGAAAGAGAGGTGAAGTGTAAGACGGTTGATTTTAGAAATTGGATGCACTCGGCTGCCGCTAGCAAAACACAGGAGTTTATGGAGGACCAGTGTTGGGCACGTTACTTTGAAAAAGTAATTAGTTATAGTTACTAGTTACTTCTCCCAAAAAGTAACTGAGTTACTAACGGAGTTACTCCACTATAAAAGTAACTAGTTACCAGTAAAAGTAACTATTGCGTTACTTTTTCGTTTTGTTCTGGAACATAATGTGCACCCGACGTGCGCATTTTTACCTTTAACAGTGCCAATATTTCCATCTAGAAAAGGCTGTTTTGCTGCTGAAGTCCTGTTCACTCTTCATCTCTCTGTGCTGTAAAGCCCGCCACTGTGAATGTGGAAACACCGGTGACGAGCGGTGAGGCTGGTGAAGCACTGACTTCAGCCCAATCAGATGAACATATACATCATATAAATCAAGTGGACAATTTGTTTGGCTACAGCAAAATATGTTTTATGCCCGCATTGTTTGTTCATACAAAACGCAAAACTATGAGTTATGGGTCTTACCTTATAAATGACCTGCACAGTCCACTTCGGTTCAGACCAGTTCCTTGTTTAAATCCAGTGAATGGTTTGAGCGTAGATATGTAATCCTCCATTTGGAAATGAGTCCAATGAGTTTTAAAAAGTAAAACAAAACGCGTGTGTCCTCCGTAAACTCCTCTGTTTTGCTGCAGCCGGCTGCATCCAATTTCTAAAATCAACTGTCTTACACTTCACCTCTCTTTCTTATCATTCCTATAGTAATTGAAAAATTACCCTATGTGCATTTTAGATTATGTAAAAATGTGTTATATGTATGTTAGCCAAACCTGTTGCTGTCCTTAGCAGATAAACCAGGAAGAGCAAGGAGCTTATCGATGGAATTGTATGCAGCCGACTTCTGAGCTCACATGCGCTCCTCTGTGGCTGACCTCACGGTGATACAAGCCGTGGTTGAGCGCGATTAAGACCCATATTTGTTTCAAAAACACAATTTATGAGCCATCCTCTCAACTGTAGACATGTAGATTGTAAAGGAAATATGATTTACATCAGCCAATAATTGCTGAGAGGTTTTCTCAATTCTCATCCTCCCTTCTCTCATGACAACACGTTCATTGTGCGTCTTGAGTAACGCGCAGTAACGGGATGTCGGAAATGATAACGGCGTTATAGTTACTGTCAAAGTAATTAGTTAGATTACTCGTTACTGAAAAAAGTAACGGCGTTAGTAACGCCGTTACTAGTAACGCCGTTATTCCCATCACTGTGGAGGACACACGCGTTTTGTTTTACTTTTTAAAACTCATTGGACTCATTTCCAAATGGAGGATTACATATCTACGCTCAAACCATTAACTGGATTTAAGCAAGGAACTGGTCTGAATAGAGAGATGAAGAGTGAACAGGACTTCAGCAGAAAAACAGCCTTTTCTAGATGGAAATATTGGCACTGTTAAAGGTAAAAATGCGCACGTCGGGTGCACATTATGTTCCAGAACAAAACGAAAAAGTAACGCAATAGTTACTTTTACTGGTAACTAGTTACTTTTATAGTGGAGTAACTCCGTTAGTAACTCAGTTACTTTTTGGGGGAAGTAACTAGTAACTATAACTAATTACTTTTTCAAAGTAACATGCCCAACACTGCAGGTGGGTTTGCAGACCACCGAAACGCTTCCTGAACACCATTAGCACCGACGGCAGCAGCCTCAGCGAGCAACTCAACATATGGAACCCTTGTTAACCGGTGAGATGCGCTGGGCTGCACAAACGGCTCCCTGCTTAAGGCGTCGGCGACAACATTTCGGGGACCCGGGATGTATTTTTTATCAAACTGAAAAGTCCATCAACCCATCGCTGCTCACATGCATCCAGACGAGCTTTGGACAAAATGTATGTCAATATTGTCCGTCCACACCGTAAATCTATGTCCTCTCAACCAGTGGTGGAATTTATCGCACACTACCCACTTTAATGCAAAAAATTCCAGTCTGTGCGCAGGATACTTTGACTGAGCATAAGTGAGTGATTTACTTGCGAAGGCAATTGGTCTCGCTATTGTGCCCCCAGGCGGAACTTGTGACAAGACAGCACCTAGCCCATCAGTAGAGGCGTCAACTGAGAGCAAAAAGTAGTCATCAAAGTTCGGATGGGCCAGAACAACTTGGTCCAATAAAGCCTGTTTCAGTTTGTCAAAAGCCAGCTTACATTCGTCAGTCCAATCGTCAGTTCTTAACTTTTTACGAGTCTGGTGGCGTTTTCTTCCTGCTCCACGCGGACTTTTGGACCCCGACGTGAGTTGGAATAGCGGCCTGGCTATGGCTGAACAATTTTCGATAAACTGCTGGTAGTATACAACCATACCAAGAAAGGAGCGGACTTTACGCTGTGAGGGGACTGAAGTGCCATCTTCCATAAGGTCAGACTCTTTTAAGGAGGTTATGGCAGCAACTTTATCATGGTCGGACTGGATACCATCGGCACTAATAACATGACCCAGGAACTTTACTAGCGCCACAGGAAGTTGCATTTCTTTGGTGCGAGTTTGAGGTTGTGGGACTGCAGTCTATCAAACACCATTCGCAAACGTTCGAGAGCCAGATTATCATTCGAGGCGAACACCAAAACATCATCCAGGTAGCATAAAAGACTCATAAAGTTCTGGTCACCAAAAATGCTTAACATCATCCTCATGAACGTTGCTGGACTATTACAAAGGCCCTGCGACATCCTGTTGTATTCATACAATCCGAATGGTGACAAAAAAGCTGTGTACTTCTTGTCCTCCTCATGTACTTCCACATTGTAGTATCCTGAGGTCAAGTCCATAGTTGAGAAGAAGGCATTACCCCCTAGAGCTGCGAGGGCATCAGCAGGGTGAGGGAGCGGAGTGCATTGAGCCAGCGGAAATCATTGCATATTCTCAAGTCTCCTGATTTCTTTGAAACTAACACAAGGGGCGACGCAAACTCACTGCTGGACTTAAATAATCTCCCGCTCCTCCATTTCATCCAATGCCTGTCTCAGTTTTTCATACTGTGTGGGCGGTATGCGACTGCATGGGAGTCGAAAAGGTTTCTCATCTAGGACCCTGATACGGTGCGGGTAACCAGTAGCCTTGCCGCAGTCTAGCTTGTCTCTGGAGAAAATCGACTCGTACTCTACTATGAGCTCAGCAAGCTTAGTTTTGTAATCGGTGGAAACTTGACACGACTCAACATCAATGTCCGACAAACCCAGCTCACCTAACCTAGACTGGGGAGAACTAGAGTCAGGACACGGCTCAAATCGAGGACAGTCCGGTAAAGTGGAGGTATCTGAAACTAGACTGAGTACAGTTGATCTATCACTGGTAATCTGTACATTGTGCCGAACAGACTGAGCACCAAATTTCTCCACTGACTCACACAAGAAGACGTCAGCCATCTTAGTCTTACGTTTGAGAGTGACAGACTTGTGAGACGGGTTTATCACTTTGAGAGACAGCAAGCCATCAGCTCTCAAAAGTGCAACAGCTCTTTCAACTATGACTGTTCTTGGTCTGGACTTAGCGACTGTCGGCTCGACAATAACCTCACTACCATCCAACTGTTCGTCCACGTACTGCAGCTTTGCCCACACTAGGTGCTCTGTCATAGGCTCCAGAGTAACAGCTTTCCTGAGTTTGACAGTACCGATCGCATTCGAGACATCCTCAGTTTCCACTCCCGCCATTAATCTTTGTGTCGTGTTCGTTTCCCCCCCCTTACTTTGGTGTTCCCGGTCAAATTTGACCGGACGGTTTTAACTGCTCTTACATTTACACAAAATAACTGATCATAACTAAAAAATGTTTTACTCTCTTTAAACTCAACAGTTTCTGTTCTGCATCACTCTTGCAGCTGAGCACTGAAGGGCACTGACCCTGGAAATCCCTTTTAAGTCTGCTGATCACATACCGCAATAGGTTACTGCCAACAATTAGATCTTTGCTCTGGCCATTGACAACTAGAGTGGGGACAACCACGCTGCAGCCATACATCTCCAGGTTGAGATTGCACACTCCCACAGGCAGAGTTTTAGACCCTCCAATCCAATCAACACAACGTCCGTATCCTGAAGGGTGGGGTTTATAACACCCTCCTGTCGTAACTGTGGGACAAGACTAGCACTTAGAGTACAGGCCATCGAACCACTGTCCAGCAAAGCAGACTTTTACTCTTCCGCTCAGTGTTACTATCTCATAGAACAGATCATCATGCTGCTGAAGCCTCTGAACGTTTTGAACTATAGGCGTGCGTCCCATTTCTCTTTCTTTGCAAACACTTTGATAGATAAACTCCTCTTCATCACTCTCATTAACAATAGGGGGATCATTTTTAGGCCCAACACTTGCCCCTCCCACATGCAGGCCAGCTAGTTTCCCTGCTGCTGCGCCGTAGACTTAACAACCCCAGGCTTACTGACAGCATTTGAGCAATCAGCACGTGTGTGGTCAGGTGCAAAACAGGTGAAGCACAGACGGTCGGACCTGCAGTGATACTGAGTAGTGTGGCCATCATCTCCACACACAGCACAGGGCGTCAGGGGCTTGACCTTGGAGGGCAGGCTGCGTGTATTGAACTTACTGACATATTTACAGTAGGTCCCATTTCGTTTTGTCGTCTTCATTCACGCTTTTTGGGAATCACGCAGCTGCGTGAAAAATATTACATCTTATCGCCACAAGGTGGCAGGTTAAGTCCGCTTTAGCTCTGCCAGCGACTTAGACGCTCAGGTATCATACTGCGTGCAAACCTGTCTAGCCCAGAGATCCTATGTTGGCCGAATGGATAACATTGAAGACTGGGACCTGGAGAACCCAGGTTTGATTCTTGTCTGAGGCAATTTTGGTTGCACATCTTTTGGTTGCTTGTGTGCAATTACGTAACGTTATCAGATTGTTATCTTCTTTCCTTGTCAAAAATGTGTAAAATTGGCTGTGTGTTCAAGCCGTGCATGTGAATGTATATGTGTTGCTATTGAATGCTTTGTCAAAGTAAGAGCATAACAGACAACATATACATATTTTGTACTAATGTTAATCTTTATAATTAAATTGCATTAACGTATATATGTGATGCGATCTGGGAAAACCCGTCGGATGTCACGCTGGCACGTTCCGAGTAAACAGTAAAAATAGGTCGATTGTCATTTTTTTGGCAAAATTGTTTTTTCATTAAACAATTATTATATAACATCTTGTCTTTAATGTCTGAAAAAATCTAGGTGAAATTCACTAGTGTTATACGTTAAATATTGTGATATGTTTTGATAAACCGAACGTTACGTTACATCCTCCGCTCTGGCCCCGGGAGCAGCTGCTGTGACCCCCGCTCTGACAGCTCAGTGAACGCACTGCCGTCTGGGCTCCGAGCGCGGACCATAGACACGCGAACAGAACCACAGACAGGACCATAGACACCCGAACAGAACCACAGACAGACATTTACATTTACATATACGCAGACAGAACCCAGACAGGCGGAGACACGCGAGACACGCGGATCATAGACACTTGGACAGAACCAGAGACACACGAAGCATAGACACTCGAGTCGGACAGGTCCATTTGTTTTATTTGTGTTTAAAGTTACCTAAGTTTCTCCTTGCATTAAAAATGCTTGGTGGTTGTGGATATTTAGACTGCGTGATTTGATAGAATAATACTGGCAATGTCTAATACATATCTAATTTTCAGCAAATTATAAAGAGAAAGAAAAAGAAGAGGAGGTCAAAATTCAATCCACTGAATATTGAAAGAATCAATACATTCTTGATTTTCGACTAATTCATGAGTGTTGTGTGTTTAATTGGTGCCAAAGTAACATCTTTTTAATCTTCTACAACATAGTGAATAAAACAAGTGTGCCATAACAGAGTAACAATTACATGTTATATGACTGTGATGATTATGTTTGGAATGTCAATCTTTAAACCTGTTTTTCTCAGAATTCTGTTTCATAAAACCATGTATAATGTATAATACATAACAACTGTTGGTGCATTTTTCAGAACAATTAGTTCAAACTGCAAAACCTGGTGGATAACTTGCAAAAGTGCATCACCTTCTCAAAATGAAAAGTTTATTCCTCAAAAGCAAGTCTTCATGTCAATGAAATTGTCTGTGTCGTCAAAATTATAAGTCCTGACAACATTGAGTATGAACAACAGTCAAATGACTTAGTCATGTTTTCATTGTGACACTTTACTCTCTCTGCTTTTTTCAAAGCAAAAAATCAGATCTTGGTGAGCACTAAACACTGTACAGCTGAATACTACAGTAAAGTTACACACGACTGTATTTAGTGAGAGTAAAATACACATTTATATGTACTGTGTGTGTGTGTGTATGCATGTATGTATCGATGTATGTCTTTCACATACTGTATTTACTGCATTTGCTCTTTGCAGTTCTACAGCATTGTGCAACAAAAATACAGTCACATACATGTATGTACATAGAACAAACATACAGAATATCATTATGGTAGAACTGTGACAAATGTAAACAATAAAAAACACACCTTGTCGTGTTAGGAAAAATGTTCAGGATGTAAAAAGATAAAGTATTGTATGAAATCAGATTGACAGATTTTGGTTTTGAACGAGTTCAACAGTTTTGTATGTGATGACCAAAGCCATGAAATGAGCTTTAGTTTTACAGGGAGAAACTATTCAGTCGTGATAAGTTTTATTTTGACAAACAGGACAGAAGCAAATGATGATTTGAAGAAGATGACAAAGTCTGGGATCGCGTCTTAAATTCAGACAGAAGACATGTTTTATTGTCGATGGTAGAGACAGCACGAACACGAACACAGATACAATAGAATGCAAGTGTATTATACAGAGCAAGTGTATTATACAGAGCAATTATACAAATTATGTCCAAATTCAGAAATCCAGATTGTTCCAAATCATGTCCAAATTGTGTAATCCAATTGTTCCAAATGATGTCCATGCAAAAGAGGACGATGGTATTGTCCATGTCTCAGCAGCTCACAGGGATCAGGGGCTGTGCAGATTGTCCATGTGCTGGTCCAGATGCATTCTCTTGAGGTTTCTCAGTTTGGCTTTAAAAAAAAACACTTTTTGTGTAAAAAAAAAAGAGTCTTCTGTTTTCTAGATGTTACAGACAAGGCCCGCATCCTTCCACCACCTGAAGAAGATGAGCCATGTCTGGGATCGCGTCTTAAATTCAGACAGAAGACATGTTTTATTGTTGATGGTAGAGACAGCACGAACACGAACACAGATACAATAGAATGCAAGTGTATTATACAGAGCGGAGGCATGGAGACCTCCAATCAGCAGCTGCCACGGTGCCATGTAGCTTGGCCTTCAGATAGACAAAACAAGGGAAAAGTACAGGCTTCTGCACATTGAAAGAATGATGAGTTTAACTTTAACAAAAGTTGCTTCAAAGTGTTATGAAATCTCACAGATGTTATAAAACAGAGAATTGTATGAAAGTAACTGATACATGAACAAAAGCATTTGTAATCTGTTCAAACGAGAAACTGCTGCGATTATGTCACACGTGACTCAGTGTTTTGTATGTTTGTTCTACGTAAATACTGTATGTGTGCTATTTTTGTTGCACAATGCTGTAGAATTGCAAAGAGCATATGCAGTACATATGTGAAAGACATACAGTACATACATATATATCTCACTAAATACAGTCACAATGAAAACATGACTAAATCATTTGACTGTTGTTCACAAACACTGGTGTCAGGACTTATTCTTTTGAGACACAGACCGTTCTGTTGAGGAATTAAGTTCATTTTGAGGAAGTGACTTTTTAGCAAGTTATCCATGAGGTTTTGCCGTTTGCACTAATTGTTCTGAGAAATGCACAAACTGATTACAAAATATATACTGTGCATTCTCAGGGGACACAGCACTGCCATGGCATCTCTTCTGCATTGTCCACATGTGTATCTGTGGACTACTGTAGTACTCTCTTGCAGCTCTCCCTCCCCCGCACGAATAAACAAAGCCCACCCCAGGCCCCTGCTGTTATAAGTCATTACCTAAATTTGCAAATCAATACATGCAAATGTTAGCAGCCAACCTATCCTTCTTTTCAAAACAGGGGCCAATTTCGCTTGGGTTTGCTAGTGTTAAAACTAAGCAGACATTCATCAGCCAACTCCATTATATTTGTAAAACACAGAGAAAGAAAGTTTCCCACCCATCATACATTTGTATTAGCAATATCGTTTTACAAGTTTACTACAGTCTAGCAACTATTCATTTCAACCTTCGGCACAACACGCCAAAACACGCATGAAATTCAAGATTTGGACAACAATAAACATGTTCACACTCTGGCATCATGTTTAAAAAATTGAATTTGCGCATCAGAAAAAGTCTAACGGAAACACGCAAACTTCAAATCATATATATAATAAGCCTCTGAATTTATTCTTTTAAATAATGTTGTTATAACACTCACCATTAATGCGACTTCTGGTGCTGGACTGTAAAAAATACAACTCAAAATTGTTCACCTTACTAAGATTTTTGCATTCACTGACAATAAAATTGCCACTTGAACTCATATGAACAATAGAAGGCCATGGCCTGTATAGTAGTACAAAAACAAG